CTTCCCACAGCACCCCACGTACCACCTACGCTGCACTAATCTGTATGTGTTATCCGCCTTCTCCTCATCAGAACGCCACTCCCGAGTGCAGGGTTTAGTCTGCTTCGCTCGCTGCTGTGGCCCGGGCCTAGATCGGCGCCTGGCACACAGGGCAGGCGCGCAGGAAACAGCTGTCGAATAAATGAAGGGGAACTTGCTTACAAGACTTAAACGTTAGAACCTGCACCTGGCCATCCAGACACAAATAGCATGGAAAATAAAATACAAGAAAGAGCCCTTTGTTTTCTTAAAAAAAATAAAACGAAGTGCCAGATATGAGTTACACCTTTAGGATGGGAAAGAACTAGCCCCCACCCGCAGTCAGTACAAGACCTGCGCCGGTGTGGGGGGGGGGGCGCATTATATGCTTATGTGCATGTAAGCATTATATGCTTACAGAAGGGCCCCAGCGCCACCGGCTCTCGCTCCGGCTGGACTTACTCCCGGCCCCACGCTCCTGACTCCCAAGGAGAAAGGGATAAGGACTGTCCAGCACCAAGGAGACCTGCCCGTCCATCTTCTCAATGGAAAACCTTTTGCGCTCGAGTTGATCTCAAGCCTGAAAAACACTGTTTGGTGAAATTGTATAAGTCAGGGAACAATGAATGGCTTGAAAAGTCAGTGACAGCTTGCTTTTTAAAAAAAACTAATGATGTTTTATAAATTGAGGTAGGTGAGTTAGTATCAAAGGTTCTAGGCTTTCTTCCGCTCTCTCTTTTAGGCCCCATCATAGCTCGCTGTAACCTCAAACTCCTGGACTCAAGCTTTCTCTTAAAGGGACAGTGTATCAACCAGCAACGAAACAGCCAGGGGACCCACACAGGCAATGCTCCAAGGGCTTTATATCAGCGGTCCCCAACTGTTTTGGCACCAGGGACCAGTTTCATGGAAGACAATTTTTCCATGGACAGAGGTAGGGGTGAGTGTGGTGTGTGGAGGTGGAGCTCAGGCAGGCGAAAAGCCAAAGCCCACCACTCGGGGGCTTGGGGGAGCTCTACGGCTGGGTCCCTAAGAGGCCACGGACTGGTACCAGGGGTTGGGGACCACAGCATTATGTGCATTAACTTCTTTGACCATCCTAACGACCTGGGAGGGTGGTCACTGCCATTACCATCCTCACTTTACAGATGGGGCAACTGAGGCACAGAGAGGCCAGGCACCTTGCCGAAGGTCACATAGCACGGAAGTGGCAGGACTAGGGGTCCAACCCCAAGTCTGTCTTAGGAATCATGAGGGTCTGGAAGATGCTAAGTGTGCCCACGGAATCAAGAGAGCCAGTCCTTTTATTGGTTGCCCACCATTTGCAAGAGGGTTTGTATAAAGCGATCTCTGACAGCTCTTCTTGGACGCCTGACACAGCTCAAGGACTTCTGTTTGGTTCTGTGCTCTAGTCTTTTCTATCCAGTAAGTCCCTGGGCGTGTGCTCGGCACAGGGTGAGCAGACAGCCAAGGTCAGTCAGGAGGCAGGGATAGAGGGCAACGGTGGCCACTGAGTGACCCCATGTGGTCAGTGCCCTGAGACCCTTCAATAAGGGAGCCTGTCTGGGCAGACAAGAGAATTCGCCCTGCGGAGGTGACATGTGTGCCCCATGTGCACCCTGATGGATTAGGAGGCCGCTGAGCGTGTTCTAGTGTCCAAGGCAGCAGTCAACACGCCAGTCAAACTCTCCCCCCACACCAGAGCTCAAATTCCAGAAGAGAGGGGACACATACTAAAGCAATATATAAATAAGTTACATTATGATAAGAGTATGGGGAGACACAGCAAGGAGCGGGACAGGGACTCTGTGATTTTAATTAAGTGACCAGGGAAGGGCCTCACAAAGAAGGTGATGTTTGAACAAAGACTGAAGGAGATGTGGGAGTGAGCGATGCTGGGAGCTGCTAGTCTGGGGATGGGGGTGGGGCAGCAGGGGACAGCAGGGTAAACAGAGGATCCCAATCCAGGGTGGCCAGGGTGGATGGAGGTAAGCCCAGGGGCTGCAGGAGTCCCCAAGGACACACGAAGATAGGTAGCCTGAGGGTGTGGGTGGGGCTTCCCAGAGGAGGTGATACCAGAGAATCAGTAAATTTTGATACAATCAATGGGTTGGAGTTAGGCAGGACACAGGAAGGACTGGAAACAGAGGTCGGAGGGTGGAGCAGGAAGGGCACCCAGGCAGAAGGCACAGCAGGGCAGGACAAAACCTGGTCTATCAGGAAACGAGGAGCAGGCTGGAGTTGTGGAAGCACAAAGGAACATGCACAGTCGAAGCAGACCATGAAAGGGAGGCCAGACCACAAAGAGTCTCCAACCAGCCTGAGGGTGCCGAGGAGCCATGGGAGGGCTGTGAGCAGGGGAGGGCAGGGTCAACTCTGGGTGCAGGAAGATCCCTAAGGCTGGGTAGAGATGGGCTGGAGGGTAGAGACTGGGAGCCAGGGAGGAGGATGGGGTGAGGGTCCAGGTGACATGATGAGGCCAAGAGACGGACAGGGCTGAGGGCTGATGGCTGAGGGAGGTGAGTTCCGGAAGGAGGGGTGGGATAGTGCCTGGGGTCTGACCCAGTGGTGATTAGGCACCTGGCAGTGTCTGAATTATTTATTTGTTCTGAAAGGGAGATCGACAGTCATGTCCTTGAGACAGGATGTAACGCAAGCAGCTCTGGGGCACCGTGGGCGGGGAAGATGGCACCAATGCTCTGGAAAGGACAGGAGCTGACACAGTGCTGCCTTCAAGCCTGCGCTCTCCGTTCTCTCCCCGAGCACACTGGAGGCGCTCACGGCCAGGCTTGCGCCAGGCGATGCTGGGACCAGGGCTGAGTCAAACATGGCCCTGCCTGGTGGGCGAGACAGCTCTAAGCACAGACTTCCCAGGCCAGGGAGGCCAGGGCGGGGCCAGAAGGACAAAGCCCAGGGGGGCCAGAGGAGGGACCCCAAGAAACAGAGACAGAAGGCAACCAGGAGTCAGGTCCCAGGACCCCAAGAGGAGTGTGTCCCAACAAGGCTGGGGGCAACAGCCACGTCACAGGCTGCCATGGGCATCGTTAGGCTGAGCAGCCATTGAGTAGAAACGGAAAGAGCAGAGTCTGCAGCTGGACTTGCCTGGGTTTCCATCTCGACTCTGCCACTTACTAGCTGGGAGATCTGGCAAGTAACAACCTCTACAGGCCTCAGTTTCCTCATCTATTCAATGGGATTAATAATACAGAGGGTATTAAAAGGACAGAATGGGGTAATCTCTGTAAAGGAATTAGAACACTGCCTGGCCCATAGTAAGTACCCACTAAATATTGGCTATTACGATCACTGATGTTTTCATGCCCGAGTCTGTCTGTCTCCTGTACCTTCCTCCCTGGCCTACCCTCCAAGTGGGCAAGGGGAATATCAGTGTTGTCAACTTTGTGGCCGGCCCCACGCTATGCCTCTGGGGTGCCAGACCCCATGCTGGGCGATGCTGGGGACACAGAGGGAAGTTCCCAGGCTGGCTGATGGGAAGGACAGACATGGACGGGCAGTCACCATCTCAGATTGGGCCAAGCACTGAGAAACTGGCCTGAGAGACCTTGTCTGATTCACCTCTGTCCATACCAGCTTCCCTCTGGGGACAAGCCAGGCTCTCAGAGACACTGCCCCGCCCCTCTTTGGTGGAGAATGTGAGCCACTCCCCCAGCTCAGTCGGTTTGGCCCCTTGAACTTTCATCCCTAGCAAACACACTTCTCTCTCTTCCTAGCTAAGGCCTCCTCGCTCACCCTGTGGCTGTGGAGGGTGAAAGACAGTTTTAGGGTCCCACAGAGCCTTGTCTGACCCTATTAGGGCACATTTCCGGTACTGTAATAATCAATTGGTAGGTGACACAGCCTAGTGGGCGAAAGCTTGGCTTGTGTGCAAAGCACGAGTCCAGGTGAGAAATCAGAGGAACCCTTCCCTAGCTGAGTGACCCCTCTGTGCCTCAGTTTCTCCGTGTGTTAAAGAGGGACCATGACTCCCTCAGTGGGTAAGAAATAGACAACAGAACTCGCCCTGCACGGTTATCTAGAGTGAGTCCAGAACTAGGGAAAAGAAAACAGGGCCGAGACCCCTGAGGGATCGGACTTCAGAACCTCACAGTCTTTGATCACTGCCCCCAGGCGTGACGTAGACCTTTCGGGAAGAGTGGCAGAGGGCAAAGGTTACGAGAAGACCCCCACACTGCGTGCGCGCGCGACCCCGGCAGCACACGGCTGCAGGACGCAGGGAGGTGGGAGAGGGGGACCCGGTCACCTTCACGGCGTAGTCGATGACCCTCTTGACAGCCACGAGGGCGCGCAGCTCCGCCATCTTCCCGCCGCCGCCACCCGCCGGGTCAGTCCGCAGCCGCGTCCCGGTCCCGACGCCCCGCCCTCTGCGCCCCTTCCCGCCTGCGCGCAGCGCCGCCAGCCAGTCAACCGAGGCGGAGCCCTCCTCCCGACAGGGACCAATCGGGAGGCCGGAGGGCAGGGAGGCGTGGCCAGAGGATGCGGACCAATGGGAAGCTGATGTTGAGGAGCGGGCGGGTCGCGCCGGGCCCGGAGAGGCTGTGCGGAGGGGGCGCGGCGGGGAAACTGGGGGAAAGGTCGTGGGGGAGGGGCGCGCCCGCGGCGGAGCTCCTCCGCGTCCTCCTGAACTCCGCCCCGCGTCTCCGTCTCTGCTCGGTCCTCTCGGGGTCCCGCTTCCTCCCACCCGCCAAGTCGTCCTGCCGCCCCATTCTCCTCATGCCCGTGTTGCCCGTCCTCTCCCGTCCCCGTCTGCACTTCTCTCCGTGTTGTCCCCTCACGGCCCCACTGCCCCTCGTCCCTGTTCCCCTTCAAATCCGTGCCACGTGTCCACTCCACGTTCGTGTCTCCATGCCCGTGACCCCCTTCCTCCGTCCCCACGTCCTCCCCGAGCCTCTATGCACCCCAGTATCCGCCCGCGCGTGCTCGTGTCCCCACGTCCCCCAGAAAGGCACGCGGAGCAACGGCGCTAAAAACTACTCCTTTATTCTGCCCCAGGCAGGCTGCGGTCACAGGCACACGGGGAACCCGCTGATGGCGTCGGTGCTCTGCACGATCATGTCCGCCAGCAGGAAGCACAAGCCTGGCGGGGGGGCGGAGGGCGGGTGGGTCCTGTGGCAGATGGCCAGGCAGGCCCCGGGGACTGGGGTTTGGGGCTCCAAGGGCGTCTCCGCCGGGTCTGCGGGATTCGGGAATGGAATGTGTTGGGGAGCTCCTGGGGGCCAGCGCAGGGTTTCCTAGGGGGGCAGCTAGGGAGTCTGGGGGAGAGGGTCGCCTGGGCAGCCTCCACCCTCTTCCTGCTTCCGGGTTACCCGCGATAATTGAGAAGGGTAAAGCCAGCCACCCAGAAAAATAGGACCAGGAGAAGAAGACGTCGTTCTTCCACGCATTCTTCACCGTGTAGCCTGTCAAGGCGATCAGCAGCAGCAGTCCTGGGCCCCGCCAGGCGGCCGGGTGAGCTGGGCCAGTGGGGCTGTCCCCGGCACCGCCGCGGCCAGGCCACGCCCCTTCGAGCCCGCCCCAGCGGACCTGTCTGGCCACGCCCACCACCTCCAGCCCCGCCTCTGGCCCTGCCCCTTCCTGCTCCTCCTCCACTTGGAGCTCCGCCCCTCGGCTCGGCCCGCCCCCCGGCGGCTCTCGGCCGGCGGCTCAAGCCCCGCCCCTCGACCCCAGGCCCCGCTTGGCTCCCGGCCACCCTCTGCCCCGGCCAGGGCCGGCGCCTGCCGCCTCTCACCGCACAGGAAGTGGAGGGCGCTCGTCGTCTGGCCCCGCAGCGACTCGCCCTTGTGGCACCGAATCCGCAGCCCCATCACCAGGCCCACGATGCCGAAGCCCGCCGCCAGCAACATGCACGCCCCGGTCACGGCCAGCGTGGCTGGGGAGAGCGGCCTGCATCAGCCCCGCGCGGACGCCGCCCCTGCCGCGACAGCTTCGGTCGCAACCGGAAGGTCTCCTGGCCACCCCCCCCAACCGTACGTGGCTGAGCGCCCCGCTCTCCCCGCCCGGAGTCAGGCGTTTGCATGGGGACTTGGAGGTCCTGTCAGGACCGGCGGGTAATGTCCCGACGCGGACAGTGAGGTGCGGGGGAGGACACAGGTCCACAGGTGGGGGGTCGTGGCGGCCTCGGTCATGGTGGGCAGCCGGATCTGAGATGGGTGGAGAGAGTGGGGTGGGGCGCCTCGTCATGTGCCCCGCGGTGTGTCCCGGGCGGTGGGGCCGGCTGGCGGGGTCTGGAGTGGGTCTGACGGCTGGGCGCGAGGGCGGGCCTCACTCTGGCAGGGCATGTTGGAGCAGATGCCTTGATTACACTCCTGCCACAGGCCACTGTGGCCCCCGTGGTGGCGGGTCCAGTAGTTGGTGGCAGTGGAGAGCACCGTGAGGATGTTGGCCAAGAAGCTGAGCCACGCGCCCCCACTCTGAAGGCTCCGCCTCACTCCCATGCCACGGAGGCGGCTGCCGAGGGCCACACAGGCGGGTTGGCCAATGCCCCTCTCGCCTGACGCCCCCACCTCAGGAGACCTCCCTCCTTGCGCTCCTCCCTCAGCTCTCCTGCCTGGGTCCCTACTTCGGGGACCTGAGGACACCCTCCCTCAGATCGACCAGGGCCCCAGGCCCCTCCCTCAGCGACCCTACCTGGGAACCCAGGATCCCCTCCCCCCAGACCGCATCCTCCGTGCTCCAGTCCTACTGGGGCCCTTGCGACCTCCCCTTTGAGGCCCCTGAGACCTTCACGGCAGGCTTCCCTGCTTAGGAACCTGTCCTCCCAGAGACCTCCTCCCAATAGTGGAATGTCCCTTCCGCCTGTCCAGTGCCCTCCCCGCCCCTGCACGCACACACACCTAAGTGACTCACACGCAGCTCCCCAGGCTTCTTAGACACAGAGCCCAGCGAGGTGGGGGAAGGGAGGCTGGGTCACTGTGAGGCAGCAGGAGTTCCAGAACTTCCTCCCCCAGCTGCCTTTTAAAGGAATAACTCCCCCACCCCACCCCACCCACACACACACCCCGCAGCAGCTCTCTTAACCAAGTGACAGCCCAGACTCAGACAGCAGGCCTGGGAGAGCTTGAGGGCCCTGACATGGCAGACCAAGTCCTTCTTCTAGAAACTGCTCTTCCCTTCACTTGCAAGGCACCCCACGCCCTCTTAGACCCCATGCATGCTTTCGCTCCTGCAACTTTTCTCCTTCACTCTTTTTTTTGTTTGAGACAGAGCCTCACTCTGTTGCCCCAGCTAGAGTACCATGGCATCAGCCTAACTCACAGCAACCTCAAACTCCTGGGCTCAAGTGATCCTCCTGCCTCAGCCTCCCAAGTAGCTGGGACTACAGGCATGCGCCGCCGTGCCCGGCTAATTTTTTCTATATATTTTTAGTTGGCCAATTAATTTGTTTCTATTTTTAGTAGAGACAGGGTCTCGCTGTTGCTCAGGCTGGTCTTGAACTCCTGACTTTGAGCGATCCTCCCACCTTGGCCTCCCAGAGTGCTAGGATTACAGGCGTGAACCACCGTGCCCCGGCCCCCTTCACTCTTAAATGCCCGTTTCCCCTGAAGCTCCATCCTGCACCCTCTTGCCAGGTGAGCCTCCTCGCTGCTGAGGCTTCAGTGACTCCTAATGCTCGGAGAGCAACCAAAACTCCGTGTCCACCCCAGAGACTCTCTCCTGAGCCTGGGACTCGAGTCTTCACCTGCTCTGACTGTCACTCAGGACCCTGACACCCTCCGCATCTCAGGTCAGATTAGCGTCTTCCACCACACTGGGGTTGGCCCCACCATCCCACCCAGTTCATCAGGACAGACCCCTGGGCACTGTCCTTGCCCCCTCCCTGCCCCTCACCCACAAAGCCCTTGGATCCCCAAGTCCTGTTCCTCCTGAGCCTCAAACCTATCTGCCTCATTCCCTCCTTTCTACCTCGGACCCTGGTCCCAGGTCAGGCCTCATCCTATCCCACCTGTGGCTTTGCCAAGTTCCTCCCTAAACTTCTGACCTTTTTTCCATGTCCCCAGAGACTCTGTCACCCACAGCTGACACTGTCCCTCCCCTGCTCACAGTTTTCTCCTAACTCCCAACATCCTCAGGAGAAAGTCCAGCGTGGCATTCGCGGCCCCAGCCCCCACCTGCTTCTCCACTTTGGTCTTCTGCCACCCCCATATTCCATAGTCTGGCCACAGAGCACTGTTCTCTGTCCCCTCAAAACTCTTGGCCTTTCCATGGCTCCATCTTTGGGCCCCTCTGCCTGGATATTACTTCCCTTGGCCATCCAGAAGTACCTAAATGTCTCTCCAGCCCTCTACAATATGGTCAGTCTTTCTTGGTGCCCTCCCCAGGCTGGGACTGCTGTCTGGCAGTGTTAACTGTGCTTTTGGTCTGTCCCGTCCCCTTCCCCAAGCAGGAGCACCCTGTGAGCTGGTCTGGCTGGTGGGCTCTCACCATCCTGGGTCACCCACCATGGAGCTGGCGCGCAGTTGGCTTATGTCTTGGCTGAATTAATCTCAGAATAACCAGACAATCCCAGACAGTTTTTGTTGAATGAATGCAGAGACAGATGAAGGGCCTGGGCAAGGGTTGGGAGTGAGGGATGGAGGCAGGACCAGGCGTTCCCACGGCTTCTGATAAGGCCTTCGGAAGATAGTGCTCAAAACATCGTGCCACTCTTGCCTTCCGCTCACAAGGTTTCATAGCCCGGCTGGCGGGTGCCACAGTGAGCACCCAGGCTCAGGGAACCTGGGGTGGCCAGAGAGAGTTTAGTAGTTGCCCCTGTCCTGCTCCCTCCAGGTGGACCCTCCCAAGCTCCCCGGGGTGGCGGGCAGGGCAGTCACCTGCACAGAGCAGCAGTATTGCTGAGACCCAGCCCAGGTAGAAGGACCAGGAGAAGAAGGTCTGGATCTGGGGGTGTGGAGGCTGTCCCCACCGCTCACTGGTGTACACTGCCATGGCCACTGTCATGGAGAGGGCTGGGGACGAGGACAAGAGAGATGGCTCAGCCCCTCCGCAGGAACTCGCTGGCCCCCTGTGCCGAAGGCCAGCCCAGAGTCCTTACCTGCAGCAAAGGCTGTGATGGTTGCGACAAGGGGGCCGCGGCCCGGGGCCGACAGTGAGGGGATGCAGGACAGGACCAGGAAGCCCACGGACACCAGGCCCCACAGGGCAGCCAGAATGCAAAAGCTCTGCGTCACGTGGATGTAGCCTGATCGGAGAGGAGACCTCTGAGTACCCGTCCCCACTGGCCATCCCCCCGCAGGACAGCCCACGCCTCCTCACCTGCTACAGAGTCTCCGTGCTCCCTTGGCCAGAGGCCTGAGTGAGCTGAGTAGGTGGGTCCCATAGCCACGAACCAGAAGTCGGTGCTCAGAGCAACCAGGGAGGACATCAGGCCCAGGGAGCCAGCGAGCAGGGCCAAGGACCGGCAGGGCTCCATGGGGTCAGCGCTGGGTTTGTGGGTCCTGGGGGGTGATGAGGCTGCTGATCCAGACTCCCGAGTCTCTGCGAGAGGAGGCGGCTGTGCACCCGGTCTCGGGTCCTCAGAGCTCAAGCAAGAGGAGCCAGCCAGCAGCAGGGCAGCGAGGAGTCTGAGCCCCTTCAGACGAGCTGCTTAGGTTTCGCGCAGTTCCCGGTAGCTAGCTCTTTCACACATCCTCCCTTCCTGGACTGCAAAGACCACGTCCTCCCTCCCCTCTTTGGGCCTGGTCCCCCCTAGTATGTGGTCGGGGAGGGCCCGGGGGTGTCAGATCATCAGTGGTTTAGCTGGTGGCTGAGAACTTGCTCTGTCTCAGGTTCTGTGCCTCCCACCCTTGGAGCCCTCAGCACCAGAGGGCTTCCTGGAAGGGGTGAGAGGGAGGCTTGGGGGCCCAGAGGTAAGAGGGGGCCAATCGGGCTAGGGTGTGTTAAATGGGAGGGCAAATGTGGCCGGAGGGGACAGTTGGGGATGTGTCATGCTTTCCTGTGGTTAGACAGCCTTGCCTTCTGGGAGAAGAGGGCCCCAACTCTAGAGTTGCCACTAAAGGAGGGGCCTGGCGGTCAGAACCCCGGGGGCTCGAAGAAGAAGGGCCCTAAACTCCAGGTCCTGAGGGAGGAAGGGGCAAGTGGGGGGCTCAGGCTCTTGAGTCCCTGGTGGGAGCATTTGCCCAGGCAGGCACACAGTGGAGAACTGCAATTCCTAAAGGGAGTGGAGAGGAAGACACGCCCATCTGAGGCCTGATAAATGATACCATCTGATAAATGAGTTCAGAGGCAGCTCTACTTGGGGTGGGGCCTCCACGTCACCAGGATCAGGATGCCTGGGGGAAGGAAGGGGGCGCCCGGGTGTGAAAGCAGGGTCCTCTAGCCTTCCAGGCGCTAGCCTCATCCACCCACCCCACATCACTTCACCTATGAGCAGGTATAAGGTGAAGGTGCCACAGCCCAGGTAGAAGGCCGGGGAAAACCTGGCCTCTATGAAGTGGGACACAGCTGGGAAGAGGGCCTCTGCCATGCAGATGAACTGGGCCAGCACTCCCGGGACTGCTGGCGAATGGGGAGAACTGGAAATGACCCAGGAGGCTGGGCCCTCTCCTTTATTGGAGGCTCCGTTCGGCAGCCCCCCCAGGCCTCCCCAGCGGCCACTGGGAGAACATGTGCGTGAGGACAGGCTCCCAGAGCTGGGTGGAAGCCATGAGCACAGGGCCACCAGCACAGAAACGGCCATGGCCAGGGCACTGCTGAGGCTTCAGACAGTCTGGGCCACACAGCTTATGGTGAGTAGAGGGTCAGAGCACAGAGCTCATCTGTGACCTTGACCCCATCCTTAACCCTAGACCCAACTTCCTCCCCAAACCTAGCTGCAACCACAAATTCAATGCACTCCCATCCCTGGACTTAACCCTATTCGCAGTACCCAGCCCAATTCCATCCCCAACCCCATTCTCAACCCCATCTCTAACTCCCAATTTAACCCCATCCCCATCCTTAAATCTAGTTCCATTCTCATTCTCAAACCCAACCCCGCATTGTCATTCCCAAACTTACCCCAAACTCAACACTGTCCTTAACCCCAGCTCCAACATAAATATAAACCCATCCCATCCACAAATGTAACCCCATTCTCATCCCAGACCCAATCCCTCTCTATTCTGAGGACTCCCCATCCAAACCCAGCCTATCCTCCTATCCTCATTCCCATCCTCCACCCCAACACACACTTCACACCGTGGCCACCTCTTAAAAGGAGGAAGGCAAGGGCAGCTAAATGCGCATTGAAGATGGAGTTGCCTTCAGGACCTGCGTCTGCTGTCAACCAGATGTGTCTGGGCTTGCCCGAGGGAAAACCCAGGCCTCCTCCTGATGCTTTTCCTGGGAGCTCCTGTCCCCACTTGACCATGCTGTCCAGACTATTGGTTTCCTTAAGTTTCTACCAGTTTTGCCCAAGCACTGCCAGGTTTTCCAAATCACCCTGGGTTTTTTCCATCTTTCTCCAGCTCCTGCCAACCTCTCTGAGGATTGGAATAGACTCAGCAGCCCCCAACTGCCATAGAACCCAGACATCATAGCATGGGGCTCCTGAGGCACCTGGTCTTTATTCTATTCTTACTGGTTCTGTCTTCAAAGCTGATGCCCCCACCCCACAGCCTCAAGGCTCCACGCCCAGTCTGGGACCCTCCTCCCATACCCCTCCCCCAACTTTTCCTGGGCTCTCCTTTGCTTGGCCTACTCTAGTGTCTCCTTCTACCACTTCCGCACATTCTTTCAGATCTCAAGAACTTTAAGGCAGGAATGAGATCTGATTCATTTTGGGGACCCCAAATTTGGGGGTATACATTGCACAGACAAATAAGACCCTCATCCTCAATGAGCCTACATTCTGTTAAAGAATGAACGCTGTTTGTAAACAGTTATTCTGGAAGGCACCATCATCTCTGTCAAGGCCCACTCTTAACATTGAATGCGACCTAGTATAATGATAAAAAGATACTAAATCTCAATCAGTGTTATTAGAGTAGACCCCAATAAGTAATATTTTATGTAAGCCAATAAATATCACTATCAGTTGGCCTGAATAAACATTTATTGCTCAACGAATATGCTTTTGACTGATTACCATGTGCCAGGTGCTGTCTTGTATACACTGGGGACCTACAGGTGACCAAAAACAGACAAATTTCTGCCTTGGCGGTGTCTACATTCCAGCTGGAGAGACAGACAATAAGATATCTAAGAAAAATATTGTATTAGTGAAAAGTGCTGTGGAGAAACCACAACAGGGAAGGGGAAGAGGGAATGTGTTGTGGTTTTCCATAGGGTAGCCAGGGACACCTCACGGAAAAGGTAACTTTTGAGCAAAACCTGAAAGACATTTGGGAAGAATCGTCCAGGCAGAGATGGACACATGCCAGGACCAGCAAGAAGACCAGCAGGGCTGGAGCAAGAGTGAGTGGGCAGGAAGAGATTTTGCCCAAAGAAATGTCTGGCCCTTGCCCCACTCCTGGAAGGGAACCCTAAACCCTTGGAATGTCCTGCCTGTTAAGATTGTGCTTGTTTACCTGGGGTCCGTGCGCCATACCAGGTAGTTAATGCTAACAGCGTGATTTATGGTGGGGCCTTGGGCCACTGTATGGGTTTGACCTCTGGAGGGGTGTGGAGGCTGAGTGGCTGAGGTCAGCCACATGGGTGCTCCATGCCTATGAGAGTGGCCCCCAGTAAAAACCATGGACACCAAGGCTCAGGTGAGCTTCCTTGGTTGGCAGCACCATGCATAGTGCCACACATCATTGTGGGAGAAGTGAACAGTGCCAGCACAACTGCACTGGGAGGGGACCGCTGGAAGCTCACGCCTGGTCTCTCCTGACTCTTCTGCCCTGTGCCCGTTTTCCCTTTGCCGACTTTAATCTGTATCCTTTTGCTGCAATGAAACCTAACTGTGAGTATAACAGCTTTGCAGAGCTCTGTGAATCCTTCCAGTGAATCATCAGACCTGAGGGTGATCTTGGAGACCCCTGAACTGAAGTCAGAGTTGGTGGGTGCCAGAGCATGTGACCTCTCGCACAACATGAACTTCAGCTTTTTATGTGAGATGGGAACCACTGGGGAGCTCAGAGCAGAGGAGTGACATGATTTGAATCATGTTTTAACAAAGCTCCCTCTGGCAGCTGTGCAGGGTACATGCTGGGGGCGGGGAAGCAGGGAGGCGCGGCAGGGAGGCAGGTGAATGACGACTGTGGATGAGCGAGGAGTCGAGTTCTGGTACATCTTTAAGGTGTTTGCTGATGGATCAGATGTTGGGTGTGACAGAAAGAAACTGAGGATGATCCCAGGGTTGTTGGCTTGAGCAGCTGGATAAAAATGGAGGTGTCATTTCCTAAGGTGGGGCAGACCGTGGGAAGAGCACTTGGGTGTGTGCAAGAGAGATCAGAAACTTATTTTTAGACGTGAAATTTGAGTTGCCTCTTCCTTTCAAGTGGAAGTGTTGAGTAAGTTGAGGATATGAGTCTGGAGTTACAATTATAACATCATTATTATCGCTAGAGTAAGCCCCTATACATATGATTACTGAAATAAGCCTTGGTAAATACCTCTATATAAATAGGCTTCAATAAACTGTTAGAGAAGCCTCCAATTGCCATGATTTGAGAAAGCCCCTATAAATGTAATATTATTGTTATTTGAGGAGGCCCCTCTAATTTTATTTTAGAGAATAAGCCTATGTTAAGTTATTAACATAGGCTATAATAAACATTCTTATTATAATCAACTTTGCACATAGTCTTGTTATTTTGATAGACATTAGTGAACCTCAGCAGCCGCCATCAGTCTGTTGAATGCGCTGATAAATGAGTGCGTGAAGAGAAGGTGGTGGTCATGAACAGCACCTGAAGAGGCGGGTGCAGGGGTGAAGGCTGGAGCTCTGGGGCCTCTAGCTGGAGGGCCCGTCCCAGGAGGGGAGGGGAGAGGAGGGCGGGAGAGCTGACTGGACATGGGAGAGGGTGGGCAGGGAGGTTTCTTCGGAGACATTTTTATTTACATTATCATCCTGTGCATCGGTTTCCTAGAAGCTGAACTGTGGGTAACTCTTGGGCAGGGGCTCTGTGGTTAATTTCTGCTCCAATCACTCCAAGAACTGGGACGGCCGGCCTCCGTAATGCAGCGCCCTGCCCCACACCCACCACACTCGCACCTCTTTCTCCTCACCCCAGTCCCTCAAGGATTCACGCTGTAGTAGGTTCACATCAGTTTTATTCGATCCCAAAACATTTCTCTACTGGATATTCCATTTTTCTAGCAACTCGCCTGGCAGATGGGGCCCCGGGCTCCTCGACTCCCTGCTGCCAGGCCCCACTCTCCCTCCTTCCCTCTCAGGACACAGGAGTCAGGGGCTCGCGCCGGAGTCCAGGCCCAAGCCCCCTCACGCCCCCAGGAACCAGGATTTCAGGCCTCGAGACCCTCCCCCTCCTCTCCAGTGACCTCATTTAACTTCCAGATGAAGTTGGGGATACTCGGGCTCAGCGGGGAGTGGACAGGCGCCGGCACTCGTGCATCCGGTAGGCACACATGTAGAAAATCCCTGCGTGACGAGGGATCACAGTTGGCCCCCAGCGCCCTCCTGACCCCCGCCCCCCCCCAGGAGACCCCAGCCCACTCCCCTTTCTCCTTGGGGACCCTCATCCCCAGCCTGCTCGGGCTCGGGCTCTGCCTCCGCCCCAGTGCTGTGGGTCCCATGTGGGGCACCAGTGGGATCCCCCTCTGACATGCCTGCCCTGTGCCAGGCACGGCCCAGTACCTGCGAAGAAGGTCATGAGCAGGGCCACCCAGCCCAGGATGTACGACCAGGAAAAGCGCCAGTCCCCGAAGCGGCGGCCGAGGAAGCTGACGGTGACTCCAGTGTAAATGGCCAAGGCCAGCAAGACAAAAAGGGCTGGGGAGAGAGGGCGGGAGGGTGAGGGTGGGCACAGGCATGGGGCAGGGTGGAGGTGCGGTGGGGCGAAGGTTGGAGAAAGGAGTAGGAGTGGGGTGGGCGTGGGGATGGGGGAGGCG